CCGCAGCGGGCCTGGTTTTATGCGGCCAGTGTGCTGTTGTTGGCTCAATCGGGAAGGGGTGCTGATGTGCGCCAAGGGCAACGGTTGACAGCAAAAACGAGCAAAAATTGGCCTCAGAGAAACTCCCCGAAGCAACATAGGCAAAGGGGGTCAAGACAATAAAAAACGAATTTCAAAACGAAAAAGAAAAGAAGAGAAAAGAAGAAGAAGAAAAGAAAATTCAAGCCAACCGACAAACGGGCCATTTGTACCTGTCACACGTCGACAAACAACAGGTGAGGCCTTTCCCTCCTTTGGCTAAGCGCATGGGCGGCAAATCCAACCCGTGTGCGACAGGGGTCGGTTCTCTCTGTTTTATTCTTCGTGCTGCTGACAGAATGTAAGGGCTGTGAGTCCACCACATCAAGACAGTGGTTCCTGTTTTCCCTCCAAAAGCGGAAACCAAACCGGCCGCGGCAAGCGACTTACGAGCATTCATTCACTCGGCATTCTGAACAGGGGCGCGGCTAGCCAGTCTGTGTACACCGTCCACCACTCTACTGGACAGCTTCATCTCCTCTGTTTGTCGAAGTTGTTGCATTCACGATTTTTCGATTTTCCGACATATCTGTCATTTGTGCTTTGGTTTTTACTGCCATCGTCGAGCAAGACCATTTGTTGGCTGCTGGTACCTTGTCGCTTCACCACATCTCATACAACTACGCGGGACCTAGCAAACACCCCAACGAAACCACGTCAACAACGTCAAGCGTTCATTGTGGAGCGGGGCGTCTAAAAGCAGATCTAGAGGCAAAAGGACGGCCCACAACTTACCCGTCTGACCCATACGCCGCTTTGCCATACTCCGTACAACCTCCAGGGCAAACGGCCAAACAAGCTCCATCTCCCGCTGGCGGTTCAACCAACCACACAGCCAGCACAGCCGACACCAAGCCGTCGACTACCTTGACAGGCACGCCAACGACGTGCATCAACCCCTCCGCCCCTCCTTAACAGGGATTCTGCACCAGAGACACCCGAACAGTGAGGCTAGCTACGACCAGTAGATAGCACGAAAAACTGTTATGAATCAACAACTCCCAAAGGTAAGTACACAAAACCTTCCCCGCTACACAAAGCCAAGTCCACAACCCGTTGTGCCACCGTCGTCTCCGCCTAGTTTTCAGCCTTCTTGCGACGGCACCATACGCCTATGTGATCGTCGTTTTTTCTTCGCTACAATCTCATTTTGTCACCTACTGCTTTTCCCTTCTCTTTCCTTCTTTTTCTTGTCATCACTTCCCACGAACACTTCCAAACCTGGCACCGCCCACACCACATTCCTTTTCCCTCCGTGTCAGACTGTCCACCGTCTGGCTCGCTCTTAGATCTCGCCAATCAACGTATTTTTCAAGTCCCGGGTACATGTCAATTGGGGTTTCGCAACCGTTCCACGCTTCAAACAAATCCCACGATACACAACGCGTTAGAAAAGTCCACGCGCGGCACGAAAAACAGCAAAGTTGGAGCAGTGTTTATGAGGCACATCGGTAACAGCGTCCCTCCAAGCAAACAAACAACAAGGGCCTACCTGCCAATGCTCTCCTATGTTTATTGAGAAGGGGGTCGACCTTGAACGACCCTGAACGTCCTTGTCGCGCCATGGATTGTGGCAAGAAAGAATACCGTTAAGAGGTGAGTCTCGTACTTTTGTTTTTGGTCCTATCAACCTCAGTCCTAAACCCTTCCACGTTACTTGATTTATGTGGCCTTTTTGCGTCTGATATTTTGTTCGACGTTGTATTCCGACGTTGTTCAAAAGCTTTCATTTTGGCCGTCGCAGTCGTTCGGGCCAGCACAAATTTTCCTTGCAATACCACAGACACATCTGCAGCCTCCAAGGCACAGCGTCTCTTGACTGTTTCCGTCTCGACCCGCGTTACACTCGAGCTTTCCCACCCAATAGCCATTCGTCGGCACTGGGTATGGGTGTGAGGTTCGAGGTAGCCTTGGTCAGTGCGAAATTCAGAGGACTCGAGCAAAGAGCGCAGGCTTGCGGCTGCAGCCTGCCTGCACACAAGAGGCTCTCAAAAGTTCAGCTTTTTTCTAGGCGTCTCTTCCCCTGGATTTTGAAAAGTCAAGAGTCAAAACGAGCTAGCCCTGTCCATACGCTCAGAGTCTGACATTCCTGAATCACATTCACACCTTGGTTCTTCCCGTTGCCTTCTTTCCTCTACCCCCTCTTGTTCAACGCCCAATTCTTCCATCCACACCCTACCAGCACCCAATCTTGGGCCGCAGCCTGTCGTCAGCGGCCAGTGGTCGGGACAGGGATGCATCAAGATTGCTGGGCGACACGAGCCCGCACGCACTGCTTCTGCGTGGGTGCCGGTCTGTACGACGTGACAAAGTTGCGCCCACCGACGACCTTGCAGCAGCACGAATATGAAGTGCAGGAGGCACCACACCCTCTGATCCACTGCCAACTGTCTCTCCTGCATACGGGGCACTTGCGGCAAAACACACCTTTGTGGAAGCATGTATTTTTTCTGCCCCTGCTAAGTAGTCCTTTGTACTTTTTGCGAAACGGTACGAAAGGCCAGGACTGCTATGTGCTTTCAGATATCATATTCCTAGGTCACAGATTGCAGTGCTTGCACTCTTTACACTTCATTATTTTGTTTTATTTTATTTCCATCTCATTCGCGTTTGACTCCCTCGCTCCTATTCGCGTCGCGTCCCATTTTTCTTTCTCATTATTGCAGCTGCGCTGGCTCCCGAGTCGGGTACTGTTTGCCTCTTCTTCTGTCAATTTCTGCACCACAATGCACACACCCAGCCCCCTTCCGTACCCATCACCATTTCTATCGTCTGTTTGCTCCCGGACCACAATTGCACATTTCACCATATGATCCCCTGTCGAGTGCTCTTGATTATAAGATTGAGTCTCCTACAAAAGAAATTTATCTCTGAAATCTTAAATAAAGCTAACGATGCCCTTTGAGTTTTACCAGGTTTCGTTGTGGCCTTCTTCGCGTCCACAATAGCTAGGCCCTCCTATTGCGTCCAGGTCATCGCCATCTTCTAGCAACTCGGGCCTGGATCTTGCCTTCGGGGTCCAGCCATCATCGACACAATACGGCAGACGACAGCACCACGGACATTGCCTTTAATCTACACATTTGCACTCTTTTCTACCAGCATCTTTTTTCCCGTCTCATTACACTCTTACGTTTCGCATCATTCCTTTCGGCCTCCATTAGCATACTTTCGCACATATATACTTCACCCTCATCCGTTATGCACATTACCTGCGCCTGGGCTCCCTATGGAAGATCGAACTTATAAACAAACTCGTCACAAGGACACATCTGACCGAAATCAAATACGCAGCAGGACTTTAACCAGCCGTCGCCCTCTTGCTCAGGGCTGGACTACCTCGAGATACCAGCCCAGGCTGATATCCGGTAAGCTTGCTTTTCTGTCTTTAGTTTTGGCCCCCGAGGCCATTGCCACCTGCACACCTGCTTTCACCGACTAGCGCGGTTTTTGACCGTTTGATCTTGTTTTCCCTGTTTACTGTTAAAGAATATGTTGTCAAATCTTGGGCTCGATACCTTTTTATTTTCCGAAATCTGTTTCACTTGTTCCACACACATCATATCCTTACCTTTCTGTGCTGCACCCCCAATACCTACATACCCCTGAGCTATTTCCGATTCTGTTTCCTTGTCGGATTTTCACGCCATGCACCCGTCGTTTCTTCTCTTGTCTTCTAGAAGGAAGCACAGCAAGGAATGTGCTGTTAGGTGGACCGAAAAAAGGAAGAAAAAAAAAGTATATGCAAGGAATGAAAGGAAGAGCCCCTCACCTCCCCCTTACCAGCAAAGCATGCACAATACCTTTTTTCTCGTTGATTTTTTCTCTTCCGGAATTTGTTTCTTTCGTTTTTTCCCCTTGCCGCATCTTGATCTATCGCGCTCTCTTCTCTGCCCTTTCCACCTCTTCCTCGCACCCCTACGAAAGCACCCGTGCGTCACGACAGTGGCTGCATGTTTAACCAGTCCTGTCTGGGTTTTACCTCTGTGGACTGTGCATTTGCCCGAATCATGCGGTGCACCTACAGTCTGTGTGAACAGAAGTTCGCTCAAATGCATTACCTCCACCGGCTGTGTATCACAGCGCCCGTTGTCCGTCTCACAAAGAACTCGGTCGCACTCTCGGAATTGTTGTGCGGCGTAGACAAAGGCGCACAGCGTTAGCGACGCTTGCGAGGACCTGTTTACTCGTCTGTTTTGTTTCTCTCGGATTTCCTTACACTTTCCCCGCTCCTGGCGTTCTAGTCATATCCATTGTTTTTGTAGGACAGGCCCTTCATATCTCTCTTACTGACGAGTCACCAACCGTCTAGATACAGCCAAGAGTCCAATACTTCCACACTGAACCTCGACAGCTCGACACAGTCGACGGGAGTCATAAGTCTATATTCCCCCAGCCAGCCATCGGTTTTCAGCCAGGCCACCACGTACCAAGGCGACAACAACGGCTCCTTTTACCCATCGTCTGCTTCGCCGCATATCTTTTCGAGTCTAGACATCCGCACACGGCTTGGCACCGCGTGAGTTCTGCCGTTACCTGCATCTAAGGCCCTTTTCACCTAACTTTGATGCCCTTTATATTCCCTCCGCCTCATACTACCCTTTGGCCATGCTTCATTCAGCACTTCTCTGTGTTGTTCTAGTGGCTTTGTTACTATTTAAGGCACAAGTTTGACCATGTCACTGACACTGCGTGATACCAGAAACAGCAATCCATCGTCTGGTTTAGGACATGCCCACCGAGCACAATTGCCACATCCAGCTGCCCAGATTTCCACACGGGACCTGTACTCGACTGCGACACCGTCCTTTAGACGGGCTACAGACCACTCCACTCGGTCGCCCTCGTTCCCGGGAACTCACCGTCACCATCCCCTCTCGCCGACGCCCAGCCCCAATCAGACCTATACGGCACCATACAAGATGGATTCCGGTACCTTTGGGGGCAAGCCTCAAATCCCACCGCTGATGGAAACGACGTCGTTTGGCACGCTTCAGTATGTGGATGGTCCTGGAGCCGGTCAGCCCGTCAAGCTGGAGATCAACGGTACCATTGACAAAGGGTTTTTCCTGGCCGACAAAGAGTGGACATGCTACCGGCGCAACTACTTCTCTTGCATATGTTCATTTGCCGTTTCGCCACATTACCCGGCGTCGGGCTTGGCATTTTTGCAGACCGACGGCACAAGAAACATAATTCACGGGTTTTCCATGAGCATCTCAGCCGTCGTGTCCGACAATGACAACCATGTCATTGAGTTGGTCCAGCACACCCCAAAGAGAGACAAGGGGCCCACCGCGCGTCCTGAGAAGGTGCATCTCCTCCCGAAGCCGCCCCAGCCAGCACATCACAACATGGGTATGTACAGCGCAGACGGTGGTATGTCCGTGGGCGGCCGGTACGATCATAGCTATGGCCCGCCACAAGCCGGACACCCGACAGAACACACGTTTGAGCGGATCCAGTTCAAGCAAGCAACAGCCAACAATGGGAAGCGCCGTGCCGCGCAGCAGTACTACCACCTCCTTGTCGAGCTTTGGGCGGAGGTAGGCGCACCAGGAAGTAGTGAGTGGCGTACCGTCAAGATTGCACACCGCAAGTCAGCCAAAATGATTGTACGAGGTCGGTCACCAGGCCACTATCAGGCCGAACGGCGCGGCAGTACCAGTAGCGGCCCTGGCGGTTCTGCTGGTAGTCTCGGCTACGGTGGCTCGCAGGTGATGGGATCCGACTTTGGCTCGGCCGGGTCGACTCTTCTTCCCGCAGCCTACGGCAGCTCGTACGACCCGCGGTCTGGTCACTACGGTGGTGCATCACGCCACCATCAGCAGCAGTCACAGCACGACGTCGAAATTGACCATCCAGTCATGACGGCCGACGAGGTGAAAAGCATCGTGGAGCCGAAGGAATACCAGTACTTCCCGACGCCCATCTGCGATAGTACGCACGACGCGCGGCACCCGGTGGATCTGTTCTCTCACTCACACCAGCGAGGCGACCACGAGACAGCGCTCCCTCACTTGAGCACGAGTGCGATGGATGCAACAAGGGCAAAGAACGACGGTTCTCACCATGGACATAATACGTTCTACCCGGGCGAGAACTTTTACCCAAATCGCTGCGGCCGTTACGAAGGCAAATCGAGCTCCAACGGCTATTACCCATCTCTAGCTGCACCAACATCCAGCGTTACCATGTCATGAAAGACCAACTGAAAGTGGTCACAGCACGAACAGCATGCCACAACTTGATTTTTTTTGGGCCTCCACCAACAGACCGGTTTTGCTTCGGCCTGGGATTATGTCAGCGCTTCCGTAATGTTTTTATAATGTGTAACGACATCTGTTTAGATGATATCTGTGACGAATGGGGGGAGGGGAAGAAAAAAGAGCATACAAGAGGAAAACAGGACGGAAAGGTGACTTTGTTGTGGGGCAGAGTCACGAATACAACACTGCAATCCGAACAACTCGATCTGTCACACTGCATTGCATCACCCTACCAGTCCGACGGACATCGACATCGACAACAAAAGCAAAGGGTATTTGTTTTTGAGGTGCTATCTTGGATGGACGATAGTGCAGGGAGGGAGCAATCTGAAACCAAAAACTGTTGGCATATTTGGAAGGACACGAAGAAAGAGAAGCGAAGCGGGGGCGCAGGAAATTTTTATCTGATTTTGGGGGGGTGCTCTCGGGAAAACATTGGCATTGTACGCAACTGAATACCCGCGCGCTCACTTCTTTTGTCTTGGCCTTTTGGCATCTCATTTGGATTTTTGAATTTTTGTTTTCTCGCTTTTCATCATTGTCGTATCTCCATGTCGAATTTGATTTGATTTTCTTTTTCGCATACGATTTTGCCCCATGGTAACGATGACGACTGTTGGCTGTTGGGTCTGGCCCTGTCCAAAATCAAACCCAAGAAAGCCTAGTTCACAAATGGTTCAATTTTGTGCAATGTATGTTGTATTTTTTTTTTTTTTTTTTTTTTTTTTTTTTTTTTTTTTTTGGTCATCCCTCCTTGCTTCCGCCCCCGTTGCTCAGCCTTGTCGGGGTCAAGCCGCTGCAAGAGCAAAACGATAAATTCTGGACAGGGGCCAACAGAAACTATTGGCCATCCTGCAACGGATCAATTTTGTGGTCTCCCTTTTGGCGGGCCTCATCACACCGCAACTTTGCTTTTCTCGGCCAAAGCACAGAGTACTTGTCACTCGTTGCGACAGAGACATTGATGAGAAAAGGGCATCGTGCAGGGGTGGAGTTGGGGGGGGGGGTTCGGTAGGTGGCCTGAATGGAGAACTGCAAAGAGAAACAAAAAAAAAGGAAAGAAAAGAAAAGAAAAGGCAAAAATTAAGGTCCTACCCGGAATCGAACCGGGGCTACTGGAAGGTGTTCCACAACGAGATCAGAATCCAATGTCCTAACCGCTAGACTATAGGACCCATTGTGTTGGGCTTTGGCCCGTTTTGTTGTGGTGCCGGCGCTGCAAACAGACTTACAAAGGAAGCGTGCTGCCGGCGCTCGCATATTGCCTGTGACTTTTCTTTTCATTCCAGTGTTACGTTTGCTTTCGTTCTACGTCAATACAACATACTTGCAAGATATATGCGGTTTGGGAGAGAGAAACAGACGAAATAAAGACCAAATGCCGAGCCGCTACCCACTCGAGGGAGTTGCTTCACGGCTTTGCATAGTATTGCAAAAGTCAAGTGCAATATTGTGTTGGTAGCAACGCATAAACGCGGCTGCAGTTTGTACAAGTCGACAGCCACAATTCCAAAAAAGCACATCAGTCCAGAGCAAACAGTGTCCCATTTCAAAGCCCATTTCCCACCAATGGCCGAACCCGAAAAGACAAGCATATATCGCGCCGTAAAATACAACTGAAGAAAACTGTGTGCGAAAGAAGAGAAACAAAAGCAGTGCAGAATAAGGCAGAAAAGCGCAGAACATGTAACAAGACGCCTGCAACACTTGCAAAGGGAAACAGCAAGACCACACCCCGTCTAGTCGAAATCCATTGCAAACTCGTCGTCCTCGTCCTTCACGTCGTCGTCGTCGTCGTCATCGTCCACATACACCGGCTTCTTCTTGGTGGCCGTGGCTGCCCGTGCCGAGCGCTTAGGGGCAGCCTTTGTGGCTGCCTTGGCTGCCGGTTTGGCTGCTGGTTTGGCAGCCGTTGATGCCTTGGATGCGGCGGCCTTGCCCGCAGGCTTGCGCGGGGCAGGGGCCGCTTCCATGTCGTCCATGCTGTCGTCGCTGTCAAACAGCGCCGCTCTCGCTTGCGCCTTCTTGGTGGCGTACGCCTTGGCCGCCGGCGACAGCTGCGTCGAGGCCGATGCGCTCTTGGTCTTGGGGTCCTCCTTGGCCTTGGCCTTGGCGCCGCCACCGCCGCCGCCGCCAGGACGGCCGCGGCCTTTCTTGGCGAGCGTCGATCCTGTGCTCAGCGCAGTCGCGTTGCTCGGCCGCACATCGTCATCGTCGTCTTCCGACTTGACGTCGTCGTCGCCCTTGGTGGACTTGCGCGGCGACGACAGGGCAAGGGCCTCGTAGTTGGTGTCGTCGTGGCTGTCAAAGTCAAACGACTTGGTTGACGGCTTGGCGCGGACGGTCTTGGGCAGCACCGAGGAACCGCTACCACTGCTGTCGCCCTGGCTCGTCTCCGGCCGCGACATGGCAAACAGGCTCAGCCGGCCATTGGCCGATGAGCCGGACGTCTTTGCCTCGGAGCCGCCGATGCCCTTGACCATGGACCCGACATCACCGAGCATCTCGTCATCGTTGTCGTCCTCGTCCATGTCGGATTCCGAGTCGAGCGTCCACGTCTTGGCCTTGGCCGCTGCCGCCCGTTTGGTGCGGCCGCCGGCAACCGCACTCGCAATGGTCGGGACCACCTCGTCCATTTCGTCGTCGTCGCTCAGGTCGACGACGCGGTCAGCAGCTGCAATGGGGGCGGCTGCCGTCTTGGACTTCTTGGGCTTGGCCAGGGCAGCAAAGTCGTCGTCGGAGAAATCGTCCTCGGCGCCGTCCGCACCCAGCTTCTGGCTGGCGGGCTTGGTCTTGGGCTTCGCCGAGAACATCTCCGCAAACCGCTCCGACGTCTTCTCCACTGGCTTGGCCGCATTGAGCGCCTTCATCGCGGCCGACACCTTGGGCGCACGTGCAGGCTTCTTCTCGACGTAGTCGTCCTCGTCCTTGACCTTGCGGCCGCGGCCACCGCCAGCACCAATCTTCTTGGACGCACGGCGGCCCATGCGGCGGATGCTGGTCTGGACGTCGCTGTCGAGCAACAGCTGGTTCTCCCACTCCTTGATGAACTCGTCGAGATCCGCACACCACAAATCCTTCTCGCTCTTCGAGTTGAGCTCATCGTACTGCTCCTTCTTGGCATCAATCTGCTTCTTGAGCCGCTCCAGGCGCTCCTGCGTGAACGACCAGATGGCCATCGAGAGCAGGTAGTCATAGTCGCGAGCCGAACCACCATCGTCCTCCTCTTCCTCTTCCTCGACATTGTCTTCGTCGTCCTTGGACTTGGCACCCTTGGCGTCCCCGTTGTCCTTGGGGAAGGCGTCGTACTTGCGCTCGCGCAGCTCCTGCACGACGATGGCCTTCTTCTTCTTCGACACAACCAGCTTGCCTTCCATAATCTCCGAGATGAAGCGGTATTGGTTGCGGATCTTCCGGTACTCCGTGTGGTATACACGCAGCCAATGCTCCTTGCGCCGCGTGTAGACACCAAAGCGGTAGTTGTAGTACTCCTCCATGATGTCCTCGACCTTCTCGTAGCGGCGGATCTTGCCCTCGGTGTCGAACGCGACCAAGTTCGTCGTACCGATGGTCTTGGAGAGCTTGAAGCGCTCAATGAGGCCCTCGTCGAGCGCGCTCCGAATGTGCTTGTCGTCCATCTGGATGATAAAGTGCACATTGCGGTGGTCGTTGAATTCCTTGTAGTCCTTGATCCAGGAAGGCGACTTTTCAGCGCGGATGACCTCTTCCAGTCGGGCCTTGAAGTCGTCGGTCCAGACGCGGACGGGCAACTCCGTCACATTGATCTCGTTGGGGTGCTTGTCGTCCTGGAAGACGATGCCGTTGAAGCGGAACCGGCCGGGTTGGGTCGGGTCCGGCTCAGGTGTGCCCTTCCAGCCGCGGAACCAGGGAACCATGGGCTCAAAGGGCGCCTCTTCGCCGTCCACGTTACCAAGGCGGCCCATGCGGCGCTTCAGATTGTTGACAATGTCCACGGGATTGTAATTGGGAATCTGCGTGCTCCAGCCAGTACCAATGCCGTCGGCACCGTTGACGAGAACCATGGGCACAATCGGCGCGTAGTTCTTGGGCTCAATGATGCTGCCCTCATCCACATTGTTCTCCAAGACAGGCTCATCCATCGGGCTGAAGACACGGCGGGCAAAGGGAGACAGGCGCGTGAAAATGTAACGAGCGCTGGCAGCATCAGAGCCGCCAGAAAGACGAGAACCAAAGTTACCACTGGGTTCGAGACAGTTGACGTTGTTGGACCCGACAAAGGTTTGCGCCAGGCCGACAATCGTCTGATGCAGCGACTGGTCACCGTGGTGGTACGAGGCCAGCTTGGAGACCGTGCCAGCGAGCTCAAACACCTTCTGGTCCTTGACGTAGTTCTTCTTGAAACAGGTGTAGATGACCTTGCGCTGGCCAGGCTTGAAACCGTCGAGGACAGAGGGTATGGAACGCATGTTGTCCGCCATGCTGAAGAGAATGAGCTCCTTGTTCACGAAATCAGTGTACGTGATGCTCTTTGTGGACTGGTCCAAGAACGTGCCAGGCACAAAGTTGCCAAGCCACTCCTTCCGCGCATCCGCCTTCTTCTTGGAGAAGGCAAGGTCGAAAAGCTGCGCCTCGTCGCTCTGCATCACCTTGAAGTCCTTCAGATGGGCGTCGAGGTTGGTAAAGTACACCTGGGCATCCTCGTTGGAACTGGAACCCAGACCCTTGAGGTACTTGTGCTCCCACCGCTTCACTTCCGCCGCATGGGTCTCCTTCCACTCGTCGTACTCGGGGATCGTGTAGAAGGCCTTGGTCTTTGTGGGCTTTTTGGGGTTGGAGCCTTGCCAAATTTTGACAACGGGCGTGATGAACTCCTGGAAGAAATCCGGAATCAGGAGCAAGGACGGAAACTGAACTTGCAAGAAGTTGATGAGCAAGCCCTTGATATGACTACCGTCGTGGTCCTGGTCGGCCATGATCATGAGGTGACCATAGCGGAGACCCTTGGTGTCGGTATAGACCTGCTTGTGCTTCAGACCAAGGAACTGCTTGATGTTCTGAATTTCCTTGTTCTTGGTGATCTGGTCGATTGACGCATCGCGCACGTTGAGCAGCTTACCGCGGAGCGGGAACACACCGATGCGGTCGGGGTCGAGAACGGCACGACCGGCAACAGCTAAACCACGCGCAGAGTCACCCTCTGTGAGAATGAGCGTGCACTCGTGGCCGTGCTTTGTGCCTGCCAAGTTGGCGTCAACAAGCTTGTCGTTGCTTATACGAGAGCGCTTGTTGCCGTCGCTCTTGGACAGCATCTTGTCGGCCTTGCGCTCGGCAAAGTGAATGATGTTGTTGATGGCGTCCGAGTTGCGGATTTTCTTCAAAAAGGCGTCGGAGAGGACACATTTGCTGCCAAAGGCGCTGACTTTCGTAGTCATCTGCTCCTTCGTTTGCGAGTTGAAGGCCGGGTTGTCGATGAAGCAGTTGACAAAAATGAAGATGTGGTTGCGGATGTGGCTCAGCTTGAGAGAGTGGCCCTTCTTCTTCTTGTTGAGGTCCGTCAGCAGAGCAGTGCAAATCTGGTCGGCAATGTAGTTGACGTGTGTGCCACCAGACGTCGTGGCAATGGAGTTGACAAAGGACACCTGCTGGAAAGTGCCGTCGGACACGGTGAAACCGATTTGCCAACGCCTGTGCAGCTTCGTGTCCTCGAACTGAACGGTGGCGGTATCGGGCAGCGCCTCACCCGTCACTTCTTCGTCGCGCTCCTGGGCAATGGCCTTGGCGTACAGGTCACAGTACTTCTTGAAGCCGACCTTGAGGTGCTCGCCGTTGAGGTACACCTTGACACCGTCCACGACACCAGCCATGTCGTAGACGCGGCGGTAGATGAGGGCTTCCAGGTCATCGTCGATGCCGTCAGGCATGTTGAAGCGCTTGTAGTCGGGCGTGAAGGTCACGCGCACAAAGTCGGAGGTCTTGTTCGACGTGATCTTCGCCTTGTCCATGACAGACATGTTGTTGTGCCATGACTGCTTGTAGCGCTTGCCGTTGGTCGAGTCCTGGCACTCGATTGTGAAGTCGGTGGAGAAGACGTTGCATAGCTTGGCACCGTAACCGTTTCTGCCACCAACGGTCTTCTTCTCGTTGTCGTCGTAGTTCGAGCCCGTCAGGAGGTGGCCGAACAGCAGCTCGGGAA